AAAAAAAATACTGCATAAAGCCTTCTGCTTGAATATTCAGCGATGGGCCCATTTCGAAGGGGGAGATCACCAACAGCTTGAGGCTTGAATAAATTAGGGTACATTACAAGGCCTCGGAGGTAAGTTGAAGCCTACCTCCCATCTTCAGATAAACAGCTTGTAAAGTTACAATTTTGCATTGGTACTTAGCAAAAGCCGAGCGAAACCGCTGAAGTCGCTACAACGTCCTCAGAGAGGAAAAGGAGTTCAGAAGACCTAGGCCAAATCTGGGCAAAGGCCGCACAAATGGACAAATTTTTCACGAGTTCATTAATTCTACCACAGTTACTCGGATCTATCGCTCCGGCTGAGGTGAGTTTTTAAATGTTGACTACATAAACTCATGTCCTAAGTGATGAAGTCATATACTAGGTAATTCACTGACGAAGTCAGTTTAGTTCGAGCAGCTGAAATGATATTATATATCAAATCGAGTAAATTATTATACTTTTGCATGAAAGTGTAAAGAACGATTGCAGTGAGTAGTAAGGTGCAGTGAATTCAATAAGAACTGGTTGCACCAAATGGTTGTTTTTCCATACCCAGATTGTTTGTTTACATTGGAAGTTCGACTTGTTTATTTAAAACGAAAATTCTGCTTGCCCCTCCTATGACGACTATATAAACATATTTTTGGCCCCACAAGTATTTTTAGCACTGAACGCCTTACTGTAAGAGTCAGACGAAAAAGCGTCTGCCGATGATAATCGCTGCGAATTCTAAGCTGCTATATAGAAATTTTATTTATATTCATTCAATTTAAGTAATTATTAAAAAATCGTGCTCAAATTATTCGACTGTGTTTATTGCAAAATCATCGCATAAATATCATATATTTCTATTTAATCCCATTATATTTTCAATAGAGGTTGTCATGCCTTTGCATGGGTTGGGAAAGGTCGGTTGGACGGATAGGTAACAATTTGGGTTGGAACGATCAGAAAGCCCTGATAAAGGAGTATGGAGCAGTAGTATAGAGCAGAACGTACTCACACCCACTCCTATTTTACGGACCAGGTGTGCACTCACGTCCTCATTGATTATGGGTGGAATGATTCGAGGACTGAGTGAGACCAAAAGTGGGGAAAGAGCACGAGTGAATGCTTCCTTCCGCTCTAAATACTTTGAGCTGTAGAAAGACCATCTGGAACAGCCGCATGGGTGAGCCAGACCCGCATTACTCTAATCTGAGACCAAAGCACTGAGTGTGGGCTTTGAAATGTTCAGTTCCAGGCTCAAAAAGCAAGGAACATGTCACTTTCTAGTCGAGAGCGTGAATGTACGGAGAAATGACAGGGTATCAAGCAGTTGTCAAGATTGTCGGAGACACTTCAAAATTGGGAAATTTGTGATTTCCAGTGCGAACATAAACACGGTCGTAAAATGGTTTCCCGTAGAAGTTGTCGTTATAAGGGACGAGATGGATTACTGTGAGTGCGTACGAAATCTCACTCGAAGGGAGTGACTTCCATTCTGAGCTTTATATGAACCATAATTTGGTCACATTTGTCCCATGGTAAAAAAAATGCGGCTTATAATCTGCCGCTTACGGCGGTCTTCCTAGAGCTTATGGTTTTGTATTTTTCAGTTGATTTCAGTTTTAGAAAAGTTCGGGGGAGGTTGCTAATCTCGCTGCTCCGATGTCCTCTGAACCAACCACATACCACTCGCTTTTCTTCTAATGTCTTTTTACTTGTAAGGGATCGCAAAGCGGAAAAGCGCACACGCTTGAACTTCATTTTGCACGAAATCCGAGCTAATGGACCTATTATATATATCCTGATTGACCAGGCTTCCTACCACTAGAAAACCGTTTGGTTGGACCAGAATAGTTCTGAAGTTTAGAAGGTCTATTCAAAAACCGATTCAAGCAGATCTAAAGGTGTGAATTAAAGCTTACTGATCGTTTCAGAGCTTTGATGGGACGAGGAAAGGTGGCATTTTCGGGGAATTTAGCTGTTTTTCCTTCTATATTTTCTTTGCATATGGTCTCTCCCATAAAATTAGCCCAAAATTGCGACGAGGTCTCCCTAAGAAGCGCCTCTAGCACGAGCTGTCTTTCACGGATGAAGTGAACTACTTTCGAAGAATCGTGGGATGATCGTTGGTTACGAGGTGCAAAATACGAAGAGCACCAATTAGTGTTTACCAGGAAACGGTCAGCAGAGAGGCTTGGACAGTAGCCGTCATAATGCATAAATATCAACAAGAATGGGATAAATGAGGTGTGGGAAAGAAGGCTAATTTCAGGCAACTGAATTAAGGTGTCATTTATCTCTGGGAAACGCAGTCGAGATTGCTATTACAGGAGCGCAGATTGTTAGTCATGTGGGTGGGAGCTGTTTGGCTTCCTAAGAGACTCAAAGCCGTAATTCATTGCCTCTATCCAGGCAAAGGATTATGAGCAATGCAGTATGTTATTAGTAGAATGTAACTGCTATTCATAAAATGTATACTTCGGCCCTTTTCCTGGAGGCACTTGCCTTTTCGAGGAAAGGAGGCTAGTCATAGTTCTCAGGTAATAGCTAAGTGTGACAGGAGGGTCGTCCAAGAAAAATTCCTATCCCTCCAGGTCGCGGAGACTCACTGCTTTACTACTGCTCAAACAATGGTATATATTCTTGAGGTTCAAAGTGCATAGACAGAAAATTACATGAGTTTCAGCGAAAAGCGGGAAGCACTAGCCTACCTCCTTATATATTTTTCTCTAATAAAAAATATCTTCAGAAGTGATTAGATTCGAGGACAGACACATAAATATTGTATAATGTGTCACGTATCAGGCGTATTAAGTCACGATATCTTTCCTGAAATCTATAAATTACTTAGATTTACCAACGGCACTAAAAAACTAAACGCGAGTTACTAGGTATAGGGATCGAAATACGTAAAGCCATTTTCTAGCCGAAAGAGATATATGAAGACGACCTTTCTGCAATTCAAAAATTCACCTGAAGGGTCATCTTCATCAGTGCAGTCTGCTCGAAGAGAAGACATGCAGTACTTGTCCAAAAAATTGCATGTCTTCTCTTCGGTCATACTGGCATTGTTAGAGTCAGACAGAGAAGCAGTGGCTATGAATAACGTGAAGAAAAAGCTAGTCGGACGCGTGTTATGACTTACAATGACACACGGAAAGGTAATTGGTTAAGGAACGAACGTAGGCCATGGGTTGGCCAGACATGAGGACCCACTGAGTGAACAATATACTCCCTTAGTGAGCCACATAGTACCACTCTCACATTTTCCACCAAACTCCCTCATAGTAGTAAGGAGGATCAAGCTTACGTCGTGAAAGTCGCTCAAAACAGAGATCGCCTTTGTTTAGTACGGTAGAAAGGCTAAGAAGAACATGGTCGTGTTTCTGAAGGAAGTTTTGGTAGGTCGTGGATCAATTTTTGGCGGGTACACGTCGGTTCCTTTAGGCCTGACACTATTCTGTGCACTCTACTCGGCCACCTACATAGCTAGGAACACTACTACGCCCTTTTCTCTTTCGTTGTAATGGGAACATTCTCATGGCTGATGTCGTACTCCGTACCCTGGCAGCTTATTTTTGGGTCAAAAAACTCTTTTGTTTCATCGACCTAACAATTCAGTCGTTCACCTTCGCCTTCCCAAGAAGCTAGGCGTGCTTCGGGTTCAGGACCTGACTCGGAACTCTACTACAAAACGTTCAACAGTTCAGACAGCCTGATTGACACTCGTAGAAGAACCTTTTTCTATGTATCTCCGTTCCTATGTACCTCTTTATGTATTTGTGTTTTTTCTTTACAGTGAGGAGTTTATTCTTCACCTACGCGACTTCATTCATTTTATCTGAGCTGGTTTGTGATCGTGATTTTTAGACGGACTCACTCTTCGTCTGTAGTCGTCGTCGTAGCTGCTCTCGACAACGGTCTTGACAATGTGTCGAACACTTTCTCGTGGATGACTCGTTCACGATTTTGCCAGTTCATTTCCTCTAAAATGACAAATCAACATCGAACTTAGAATGAAAAAGAAGCTGACGGAACCGACTAAGGGACACGTGAGTCTTAGAAAAAATTAAAATCAGCTGGGAAATTCAGCAAGACAGGAACGCTGTGAACCTTTGGGAAAAATTGTAAAGGTGAGATGATCTGTGAATCGGATGCTCTCAGTGTCCTGAATCGGAATTGATTTCAAGAGTTCAATGTTTTATAGAAAAACCGGAATACGGATAACAGCAAACATCTCAAGTTTTTCGGTTTGTTCGGCGTCATGGCGCAATCTCTTGACTGTATTCTGCGTATTCGGTTTTGAGAGAAAACCTATGTGGGATTAGTGGAGCGAGAATCCAGCTAATTAAATTTGTTGACATGACATTTGTTTCTCGAAATTAACAGAAAAAACACATTTGCGACATTTCGATAACATCGTTAGGCATTTCTATTGTCGTCATCACTAACTTCATTACCGAGTAGAACAAAGGATTCTGAAAACGAATAAAACTGCGGGGTATTGCGGAATTCTGCAGATCTATCCCATTTGATATGCAAACAAAAACGTAATTCAATGCCATTGTTGTCACTGAAACCGGTAGCAATCGAACCTAATCGACCCCTTACCGAATGCTGGGTAGTAAGCATGCTAGGGTGGGTAACGGTAGAGGCTCGGTAAGTTGTGGCGAGTTATGTCATTCCATCTTGTAATGAAGCCAGTTCTTACCAGGTACAGAGCAATGGTTTCATTGCTCGTAACAACCTTACCTTACTATAAACGACAAGGTTGGGAAGGGGTTTTGTTCCATCAGAGTTTAACGATATGGTCTCATGGAGTTGACCCATTCCGCGATGACAGGGGCCTCGGCATATGACTTCAGTAAGGTTCGTATGCGTATGTCTCCTATTCAAAGACCGGTGGCCAGCTGATGCCAGAGTTGTTTTATCCTCCCAGACGAGTCTGGTGCCAATTGACCCAACCGATAGGTAAGGAAGGCTTGGTGACGTGGGCGAGTGCTGATCCAACATTGAATCCCCTGGCCTTTGAATCTCGTTTTTGTCTTGGTTAAAAATTGGCGCGTTTTTGACGAGCTAAAATCAGTGAGATGCCGGGACGGCCGAAGGCTGGTGTCCCTTTGAGTCATTTGTAGCTGCTTGAAAGAATGATGTTACGGATTTAGTATTAAATTGACTGAATAGATTTCTAGTTCTAGAGGAGACATGCCAGTCAGGTGATTTTCCAGATGTTAATCTACGTATACATCGGGCAAATTCTGATTGACGCAACTGGCCACTACCCACACTCTAGTCGGTAGCCTTCACATGACCTCTAAGTGCATCAAATCAGATTTCGTTGTTCTCCAAAGCTGATTTACATCAAAGCCGGTCCCGACTCGAATTTGGTGGCTACAGTATATTGCAGGGAATTGTGACGTCTGTGCAACGTCATTGACATGTTGTAACTCATCGAATACTGCAAAACATGCTCATAACTGGTTAATCACATTGTTGAAAGCTGCTTTGACGTGTTTGCTCGTGCTTTGATTAGTTTAGACATGTTCGTTTACACTTTAAGCACATTAGGCTTGCTATTTAATGACGTTGCACGGTGCCGCCAATGCGATTCCCCCTCGTGTTCCCGGTTTTGCTGCGGGAGAATGCAGAAGCAAGAAGTGGGAACTACCCAGGGAAGTATTACAAACAATGGGGACTGGTTTCTATTCTTTTTTCTTTGCTCCTATTTGTGCTAGTGAGAAAAATACGGTTAAGTATGTATGGAATATTGAAAGAGCTGTAATGGTCCCCCCTAAGAGGCGTAAAGATGCAATCCCATAGAGCAAAAATTGCTCCCGGACCAGGAAGGGTTAGTATTTTTCAAGGTTCCATCCTGAGGGGAAGACACTGCATTCTAAAATTTATTGATGCATCTTTACGTAAAAATTATGCTAAGAAAAGGGCGAAGTCGTCTTATGTGTCCGGGGTCGTCCCTAAGGTGGGCTATGGTTGCGGGCATACTGAGCCTGAATATTGGAAAAGCTCCTCAGATGTTACATATGTGATTGCTTGTNTATTTGTGCTAGTGAGAAAAACACGGTTAAGTATGTATGGAATATTGAAAGAGCTGTAATGGTCCCTTCCTAAGAGGCGTACAGATGCAATTGTCCCGGGGTCGTCCCTAAGGTGGGCTATGGTTGCGGGCATACTGAGCCTGAATATTGGAAAAGCTCCTCAGATGTTACATATGTGATTGCTTGTGAAATAGTGAGGATGACTTTTGCTCAGGAAATCCCACTCTGCCATTGTCGCCAGCTGATTGGCAAGCTTCGTCCGCAATTCTGCACTATTCGGGCCAATTAGTGCCTGTTATTTGAGATCCGAGGGCTAAGATTGGGTGGCTACCACTTCCCCTTTCCCGAAATGGAAGCGAGGGGGCGAGAGGGAAATGAGGGTTGCTTGGGGTGAACTGAAGTGATTTCGATTTTGTCAAATATGAAGGAAAGTTTCCCTGTCCTTTGGGTGGAGGGATCTCGTACAATATTCTTCATCTCCTCCCTCTTTCTTCCCCACTCAATGAACCCCTTTTCAAAAAAGAGAACAGGTGGGGACTCGCCCTTCTGGATTTAGTATTCAAGTTGTGGGTACTATTGATAATAGGAGATTTATCATTCATCAGCATGACTGCATGAGTTAGACAGTCTTGCTGTCCATCACGGGAAGGTCCGCGATTCTAGAGAACTTAGGTTCCGAAAGGCGGGAGTGGGACTGGTTATACAGAGTTGTAGGGAGGTCTCACTAAGAATCGATGAGCTCAGGACATTTCGTTTCCCTCTGAGAAGGAACAAAGCTGCTTGAATTGCTCCTTATAGAAATTGTGCGGCCTTCTTGAGAGCTATGTGGGGCCTCAGGTTTTTCCGTAGCACCATTTTAGTTGTGCACAAAGCGGGATACAAAGTTATTTCACCCATGGGAGGTCATTTCGGCTAATCTTAATCTATCAAATAGAAAAACCTGGTACAGATGGCGTGAGGGATGAAGGAACGGACAACTCTCACAAAAACTACATTCTCCTTTGTTCATAGCGATCAAATGAAATAATTCAAAAGATGAAAGTTCAAAGGAATAGACAGGCACTGGTGTAAGTTTGTCACAATACTGAAGGAAAGAAAGGAAGTGGAAGTGTGACGGGGGAAGTTTCTAACTTTAGTGAACATTGCGAGCATAAGGAAGGGGTGCGAATGTTCAGGTACGACAAAAGCGATAAAATAGTGGCCCACGAATTGTACGGACGTTAAAAGGCATTCCGAAAGGCAAGCTACCCTCTTCAACCCGAACACCTGCTCGATTATGTAGTACATACGAACAGCACTTGCGAGCATGCATCTACTGTGAGGGCTTTCAATCTCAAGTTCGTCGTTTACACAGGATTTTCACAGAGTGAGTCATGAATCCGGCTTTTATTCCAAGTTTCTAAAGCAAAAATACTGTAGAGAGATCCTAGGATAGGGAATCTGCAAGCAATGGAAACCTCAAAAGTAGCAAAGAGTTGCAGCTTGAGCATAAAGTATATTGAAGAGTGCGATATATACTTTGGTGGTTGCACAGAAGACTTTTGGGTAGGAGCGTTGTCATATTGAAACATGCGAGTAATTCAGAAATAGCCCCAAAGGACGAGTAATGGGGCTGTGACTCAAGGAATTAGTTAAAACTCGTAGGATTTTTCTGAAGTAGAGCGTGGGTGGATCGGAGAGAAGAAAACGGTGGCGGAGGAGGAATGTTTGCCAATGAACGGCCTAACAATAAGTGGCCTCTGCACTCAACCTGTCGGGTTGGTGGGCCGTTCGGAATAGAGGAAATTGAGCGGAAAATCGAAGTCTTGAGTAGTTCAGCCCATCCATAGAGCTGTATGGCTGAACACTGACTACCTCCAAAACCTAACGCAAGGTGCAAGCTGAGAAGAACTTGGCCTAATAATCTCTGGCTCAAACTGAACTTCTCGACTCATTAGAAGGATGATCGAGGAGAACGAAAGGAGGATAGCACTGACACTACTTCATAATTTTTGGATTCACCATATCACATAGTTCAGGGCCATTTTCGAGCTAAAGCGGGTCACCAGTATTTTGATGGACTCCTTGGCACGTTCTATTACCAACAAGCTCCTTAAATCTGAGAAAACAACTTGGTAGTCAAAAGAGTAAGTGAAAACCAATAGAAAGCAACTGACTTTTCTGCCCTACTTTTCAGAAATCCTGAATTTCTCTGGAATTCAGCTCACATTTGGACTCAACAAGAAATTAGCCTTTAAAAAATTTCGACTTGCTGAATAGATATATTGGATCTGCTGAGTTGAAAAGTACCATAGCTACGAGCGCCTAGGATTCAAAAGCGTAAAATGGTTCCTCACGCTAAGCCTACGTTGTCTTTGATTCTAGCTGATCAAACTGCTCCCATCTATCAGTTTAAAGCGAAGTGTTAGGTATTTGGTGTGGGTGCCACCCGCCCTTGAGCTTAAGCCCTTATTGTCAGATGCCCTACTTTCTGGGCATCTAATGATTTTCTGAGTCAGGTTTCTCGCTAAATCCTTTCCGAAAGGCGAAATTCGAATGAAGCAGCTCCAGTCTATCTGTTAAAAAGACGTTGTTGTGGGGTCGAAGGAGCTCAATAGAGTCGAAGTAATTAGGAAAGAGCAATAGAATAAGTCTTGGACCGACAAGAAGCTTTCTTTTCTTCCCCCACCTCCTTCTCCCCTTGCAGAACGGAAAGCTTTTTGTCGACACCAATTTATAGAAAAGCAGAGCGTTCGGATCCCATGAGTATCTATATATGGATGTCCCCTTCACAACATTTTGAAATGACTGCAAACTTGTTCCCAGGGTTAAAAGAGCTGCTCAAAACGTAGGCTCACGCATGAGTAATCAGATTAGGTTTTGTAGAAATGAGGTCCCAGAATGGTATGGCCGGCTGCTCGCAGACCCCATGTGCATCAGCAGCAAGATCGCCCTCAT